CGATCACCCATCATGCACTTTTCACGGAAATCGGCCCGATTATGATCGGTGACCGATCGATCGGCACACCTCTAGTTATAAGTAAAATAATCTGTGGAACTATTTTTTTCATCAATATTAAGGAATTATTGACTTAAAAGAAGCTCAGTTATCCTCCTGAAAAGAAACCTGATGGATAGTTTTGTCTCAGTTGAAGTGAACTAAGATATTTGCAGTAGAAACTAGACACAAATACTTGGTATGGTTTTGTATTTTTGTTCTGTGGATACAGAGTTTTGTGGAAAAGTCTTTGCTCCCTTACAGGTTTTTTCCGTTTTTCATCCCTGTTTATTTTAGCTGAATAATTAATATTGAATTATTGATGTTCTTTGTTGTGCTTTCTCCCTCGGCTCGCTGTCAGAAATGCATGCGGTTCAACCCGGACGCGACGGTCTGGATCGCCAAGCAGCGGATCCTGTGTACGCTCAATCAGACCCTGAAGGACGTCCTGAACTACGGCCTCTTCCAGCCGGCGAGCAACGGGAGGGACGGCAAGTTCCTGGACGAAGAGCGCCTCCTCCGAGAATACCCACAGCCAATCAGCAAGGGCGTCCCCTGCCTGGAGGTCAGCGTTCGTCCAATCAGAGCTTTGATGTCGGTGGAATCTGTTAACCGGTTATTTTACAGACTCTTGGGTTGATGAGGAGTTTGGTTGGTAAAGTGTCTTTGAGGTATTTCAAAGTAATTTGCTGATAATTTCTAACTTAAACAACTGAAACAAATATAATAGTCCAGAGAAATGCAGATGAAGGCCTTTTGTGGCAGTTTGCTGCGTTTCATCGCCTCTTTGGCTCTGATGTCTCAGATTAAAGCAGAAATAATCATCATATTTCATATCCTCTGCAGGTCGACCACCTTTCATCTCCTGTTTGTTAAAAAGTGTCTCCTACACCAATCAGATTCTCTCTGAGTAAAAAATGTACTAAAACACTGATTGGTCAGCAGAGGTCATGAAAGTTAATAAGTGAACTAATTAACTTTTTAATCAAAAAAGTTAATTCATTTTCCATAACTTCTTTAGTTTTGTCTTCTTCTGTTTGACGGAGCAAAAAAATAGAATAAAAAAGTTATTCTTACATTAAAAGATGCAGTATTTATACTTGCTCTGAATCACTTAAAGGTTATTATTTAACTCATTTTGTATTTATTTCACTCATTTTTTCATTTATTGATTTATTTTACTAATTTTTTTTATTTATTTTACCCATTTATTTCTTTATTTAATTTTGGCTGAAATGGCTCTCCATAGTAACAACATATTAGATTATTATGTAGATTAGAAGAGATGGAGAGAAGATGTAGGGATAAAGGGCAGCAGTAGATCTGCAGTTTGACATTCATCTCTCATCTGGTAATGTTATACGTTTTCTTTCATAAATCGATAAAATGAAAGTCCTAATTTTCAGGAACTCCTCAGAGTTTTGTTCCTTATGAAGTAACAAAGTGTTTGTGTATCTTGTTGGGATGAATGAGTGAAAATGTGGCAGCGTGGAGCGTTTCCCAGCTCAGCGCTCACATCTTATCACATCCTCTGGCTGCGCTGATCCAGATTATCGACACACAGCAGGTTCACTGGCAGCAGCTTTCTCTGAAACTTTAGCAGATGGCATTCAGACGGCGTCATCCTCAGTTCAGGTCTGCTTTACCTCAGAGCGGCTGGAGTCCGTTAGCTCTTTACTTTTAATCAAGACAGAGAAGGTTTGAGCTTCAGACTCCCTCAGCAGCAGAGAAATCTTTTATTTGATTATTACCCCCCGTTACATCTGTAATATTCATGAGGCAGATTTGACATTTAATATGATCCTAATCTAACATCCTTTATCTGAGTAGTGCTGACGTCTGAACCCAAATTCAAGTCAGTTTATTTTTATTCTACCAGGACAGAATCTTATTGCTTTGCATGTTGAAGGGAGGACTGCTGAGATTTCTGGAAATTTATCATAACACTTGAAGTTTTTGAAATTATTTTTGTGCTTATATTCAAAATGTACAGTGTACAATCTGAAAGTTAATTTCTAAGGCTCATGCAAGGTGAGATCATTTCAGCCCCAAACCGATAATCTCTGTTCCCAAAACCAGGTTGCTAATCCCAAACTAGGTTCCTTTTAGTTCCTGACTGTTTCATGAAAGATCTCTGCAGAGGAGAAATCACCCATCAGTCATGCAAAGAGCAACGTTTCTCATTTATTTACAGGAACGGCAGCAGATATGCAGCAGCACAAACATTTGTCTCTCCTTTTCCCAAATGAGGAATCAGTTTGAATACAAAACGTTTCCAGAACCCGGCACTCACAGAGATTAGGAACCACAGCCGCTCCAGAGTAGCTTAATTCTGCAAACACTTGAAATCTCCTGTTAAAACGCTCATAACTAATACTAATACTTTAAACACCAAATATATTTTAATATGCATTATTACACCGAGTGGAAACCGTCTGAGCTCCTCCTTTACATCCATGGTTTTTCTCTACAGTCAATCATCTCCAAGGAAACATATGGACTGACTGCTTTACAAATGCCAGCCAATAGTTTGTCATGTAGCAGCCAAGCTGCATCTTATTTCAAATATTTTACATATGGTTTGAAAATCTACGAATCTTGAAACGCAAACAGGCAGAGCTGCTCTGTACGGCGTTCAGTCAACTGACACTGATGGATGTGCAGTTCCACTTTAAATCAGCAGGTGGCGATGTAGCGCCACCTGCTGTTTTTATTCATTATGCTAGCTTAATGGTTGGGTTGTTAGCTTAGTCCCACATTCATGATGTTTGGATACGAGAGGTTCATGTTCCAGACAAATCACTCAGGAGTCAAAATGATGAAACCATGAATCAGTTTACCTCTGAAGTTGGATTTGACCCAGAACCACATTGGGTCAGAACCCATGATCCCCCAAAGGGGGAGACTTGATGGTAAGAAGAAGAACCTTTAAATCCATGAGGTGTTTTTCAGTGAAGCCGCTGGTGGATCAGAGAACTTGGCTCAACTTAAGGCGACTAATGAGCAGAGAATCTGTAGAACCAGTTTAGATTGATGGAAATCCACCTGAGCTCTTCACTGGAGGAACGGGAGAGATTACTGGACTCTGAACAGGAAGGTAAAAATCACTGGACTTACCCAAAATGATTCAAACTCGGAGCAGACATATTAGATTTTGAGGCCGGGGTTGATTAGAAACGGTCTTTATATTTTAGAGACGTCGTCGTTTTGCATGTTTTCTCATGTCAGTCAGTGGAGTGATGCTGATTTCTACAGATGGGCAATTTCCACTTCTGATTAGTGACCATGAACACAGGCCAGCTGAAGATGTTTAATCATTTTTTCCTCCAACAGTTTCGCTACAAGAGCAGAGTCTACAGGCAGCCCAACATCGACGAGAAGCAGATCGCCAAACTTCATACAAAGGTAAGGGTGGCCATTAGAGCCCCTCACTGTGTTTCTGTAAAAGTCGTGTTTTTAAAGTTTGCTGCCATCATGAGAGCTGAAGGTTGAGAGGTAAATAAAGTAATTAATGTTGCCCCAGACAGAGATGTTTACTGCCACTTCGTTTTGGAGGGAAAACAAAGCGGCAGGCATCTTTTTCACTTACTGCAAATTATCTTTTAATTTTTACACCCTGCAATTAAATTAGCTGTTGCTAAGTTAGGTTGCTATGCGCATTATGGTTTGTTCTGAGAAAAACAAATCAAAGTGTTCTGAATGATAAAAAGATTAGTATCATACCAAATTACACATTTATATCAGAAACAACTGTGAGCTGGACGGGACCCGAAATGTCTGCCTCCCGTTCTACTGTCAGAAGATCCATCCAGCTTTTAAAGTTCATACACATTATTGATGAGTCAAGCCTGTAAGTCAAAGCAGATGGAATATATATTGTTTTATTCTGTTAAACACAAACTATCACCATTGCTTCTCCATCGTCGGCCATGTTTGTTCCTGCTGGGTTGGGCCAGCAGGAACATCTGGATGATGATCATGTGACTCATGTGAGGCAAAAAAAAAAGGTTTCCATTAAAGTTTTGCGAAATAAACCAAAGAAACCACATCATAGTGCCAACACTTTATACAAAAAAATGAGTTTTTTCATAACTGGCGTTTTTCCATTCAGCAAATTTAATTTCAAAATGTGGAATTATGCAATTAAACAGTCAATAGAGGGACGGCTAATGTGTTTCTGAAGGATCCAGTCGTACTGGAATCAGTTATTGATCCATCCGATTTGATTAGTCAGGCTTAGTGAAAAATCTGGTCATCATCAGCATAACAGATATTGACTTCATACCATTCAGTATTTTACATATTCCTGGATTAAAGACAATAAGACCGAACACTGAGGCCTGTGGAACTCCTTAACAAACTGAGTCATTACCAACATGAAGAATCTGTCAGATAAATACGAGCTGAAGCTTCGTCTGTTCGGCCCTCTGTGGCTCTGCTGCCCCCTGCTGGTGAAAAGACATAAAGAGAAAGATCTCCCACTTCCTCCCACTTCAGTCTGACACACTCTGGGAAGTGCAATCTGAGACAAATCTGTTTCACACCGAATGCGCTGCCAGAATAAGACATAAAGAATCACAGATTACAGTTTCTGTGTAAAATCTTCCCTGTTTGGTTGGAGTCAGACTGTTTGGGTTCGTTTCTGGTCATTCGAATGAAATGAGGAGAACAGTTCTTATCCATCTCTCCTGTCCTCTTTTTTTATAATTATTTGGAAAAATGCTCCTTTTCCTGGCAGATGAACAGCAGACTCCTCTTCCTGCCTCCATCCCTCCTATATGAATTGAAATGAGTTTTCAGCCTCCTGCTTGTCTGCTTCCAGCTCTGGGCTGCTGTCCTGCAGCCACTGTAATCTTGTTGTGCAGCCAAAGCATAAATGTCTGTGGCAGCTCTCTCCTACTGGACCTGGTAAAACCGTCTGACAGCAGCTCTAATTTCACATCCGACTGCAGGGAAGAGAGACGGGAAGGAACACAACCAGAGGAAAATAAGAAAGGCAAGAGGAGGGAGATGCTCATAAATATGGAACAGGGACATAAATACATACAGTCAAGTTTCCAAAATGTTATTAATGTGAAGAAGTGTTTCTCTGGGATATTTCTGGTTCTAAAAGGAGATATTTTAGCTCATCGTTCCAGGAGTTGATCCTGTTGCTTTGCTGTGTGGTAGAAAGAGAAGATCAATGTCCAAACTGGCTCCCTGTTCAGGACAGGCAGGGAGGAGACGACACTTTCCTCCTCATCCTGATTCATCAGGCCTGCAGAGACGCTCAGGGACAGGCTGGACGGGGACATTAAATAAAACACGGGGCACACGCAGTGCCGCCAACATGATCCTTTGACATTTCCAGATATTGAACCGCTGGTGAGTCACTGCAGCCGTCAGTCTGACAGAAACCGAGTCACTTCGGATGATTCTCTGCTTTCAGTGCAGCTGATAATAAAATAATCAGTATTTACTCAGATCTCTGTCAGCCAGCTGCAACATCCAGTCAACATCTAAACATGTTAGCTCTAAGTAGCGCCAGCAGTGCTGCGTCTCAGGAAGTAAATAAAAATAGGTGTTTAATAAAAATAGGTGGATATGAAACTTTTATAAAAACATGTTTTCAACGCTCCTGTTCCTTCTCCCAGTGCTCACTGCAGAAACACACAGTTTGGTCAGAAACAGCCAATCAGAGCCAGGAGGAGGGTCTTATTGCTGTCAATCAACCTCAAGTACACGCTGCTCACCCTCCGCTTTGCTCTCTGCAATGCTTTATCAATAAATGCTAAGGCTAGTTAGCAACAGTTTTCCTGTAGTAGTAAGTTGTTTCTCCACCACGAGCAGCGTGTTCACAGGAGTGATGGACAGCGCTCAGCCCCGCCTCCTGGCTCTGACTTGGGAGGTGGAGATCAATGTTTTCACAGATTATCTGTCTCAGAACATCGATACTGAACAATAAATAAAACATTCCTGTTGCTGATGGACGGCACAGCAGAACTTGTAACATTTTTGTCTTTAATTTCAGACGCAACAAAATCAAATTGCTCTAGAAATCATGACGATAAAATCTCCTTGGAGAACAAAGGAACTTTTTAATCAAATGTTTTTGTGGTGGATTCCAGAGATTCATTCAGTTTCCAGTCAGTAAATATCAGAGTGACTGTAGCTGCTGGTCCAGCTTGTTGCTGCTGCAGCTTTTGTTTCTGCTCTCTCATTCTTCCTGCTCGTTCTCTCCCGTCCTTCTGGGAGCTGCTCTCTTATCTATTTTTATCTAACGGCCTGAAAAGAAAGCAGACAGAACCGAGCCGAGCAGAAAGGATCCGCTCCGTCCTGTCCTGATGTCCTCCCTCCTGTCTGTCCCTTATCTGCACATTCAACTCGGTTCCATTTTATACTTTTATGTTTGACCTTCTCTGACCTTTCCCCGTATCTCTAATTGTATTTCAGTCTCTGTGAAAGTCCCCGGATGGATCCTTTTGTCTCAGCGTTCTGGTTTGATGACCCGTTTGTCCTCTGTGTGTGCAGGCCAACCTGAGGAGGTTCATGGACTTGATTCAGCAGAACCAGGTGGACAAAGTGGGGAAGCTGTTGGAGCGAGGCCTCGACCCAAACTACCACGACGGGGAAACTGGAGGTGAGGCTGCAGGCTGGACACAAACAGAAAGAAACACTGGTGGAAAACCTTCTGCTTATCAGAGGGTAATAAATGGTTCTGGTTCTGGAGGGAAACCCAGACCCAGAAAAACCTCCTCATCCTAGAAACGTTTGATCAAAAACATGATTTCTTTTAAAATGTCATGTTTCACTTAAGCACATTTAGTTTCTCAAACCCACTTTGCAGGGTCAGAGCGGCTCCCGTCTGTTTCCACAGCTTCATCTGCCTGATGTCAGAATGTGAGACGATGAGCTGAAACGTTCGACACGACTGTTAGTGATTCTACTGAACTGTGAACTGATCTCCCATTTCAGAAGCAGAGACACAAATGTTTGTGCCACTAAATGTTGTAAATGAATGAGAAGTTCAGCATTTTTCATCGTGACGTCAGATTTCTGTCTCTGCAGAGATCTGAGATAAAACGGTCCAGGCCTGTAAGGCAGCTGAAGTATCTGGACCAGAACCGGCTTGTTATTAGTTTTAACATTGCTCCGTAATGTTCTGTCCACAAACTGGATCCATGATGGGAATCAGAACTTCTGACTGATTCTGGAAACGAGTTCAGCTTTGTGAAAGTCAGCAGCTCTAAAGTTGTGACACTCAGACGGGACAGAGTCTGAAACCAAACTGATGTTCAGGAGAAATCACCGATTTGTCTCATGTGAAGTTAGTTTGAGGTTGGCCTGGTTTCCTCCTGGTTCGGTTCTGTAGATGTAAACACAGCGATCCCATGAAGGCACCGACCAAAGCAGGTTACAGAGTTCATCTGGTGGACCTTTGGTTCTAGTTGATGGATTCGCTGTCGCCCAGTTTGTTTTTTTATGGTGCTGATCGTAACGAAACATCGGCTGCAGGAACATTCTGTCTTTATGAAAACCCAAAAGTCAATATCTCAGAAAATTTGATTATTGTGAGAAAATGAAATCTTGAAAACTCATGAAGTTGCACCAAAGCTCTTTCAAAGGAAGTTGAGTGGAAGGAAAAAGTGTGGAAGGGAAAGATGAACAGTGGTAACTGCAGCCTGTAGAGGAACGTCGAGTAAAATCCATCCAGGATCTGGAGGAGCTTCAGGACTGGACAGAACATCTGGAGGCGGTTCTGCTGCTTTACCTTTGAGTTGAGGAGAATAAATCCAGTTTTTGTCTGGATCAGTTTCCTGAGCGGCGGATCAAACCAGACATGTTCAAACGTTTCCACCTTCGTCTTGTTGGCCTCAGGCAGCCAGAAACTCGCTGCCGCCGTTTGTTGCCTTAAGAGCTGTTGACTTGACTGCAGCTCCAGGCTCATAATGATGTTTATTTATCATTATTTAATGAACGTGTCAGGAGTGTCTGTGCTGCGGTTGGGCTTGAAATGAGCAGCGTTGAGTGGACAGACGAAGGTGAACAGGAGGATGAGGAGCAGATCGGCTGGTAACCAAACCAAACCTCCAGAGCTCCTCAACCCGCTGGGCACCGCGCTGTTCATGAAAACCAATAATGATCACTGCAATAACTTCAACCTGGCAGAAGTAGTAATAAGCAGAAACATGAGAAGAGGGAATCCCATTAAATAACATGGAGCGCATCACCTTCAGCAGACTCCTCATTTAAAACAGCAACTAGTTCAGATCCAAACTCTGAACTGTGAGGATCATCAAACCCTCATTATCAGATTTCCATTGGATAATTTTCAGGATTTTTCTCATTTTTTAAATTCGGTTTGAAGTTATTTCTGAGAGCGTTATCGTTTTTTAACCCTGATCCAGAGTGTTTTCTCCAGGAAACCGGAGCAGACTCTGCTTCCACCGGCAGACACAAACTCTGAGCCTCTTTATGGTTTAATATCTTTGCTTCCGTTTTTATTTATGAGCTGAAAATATTTCCGTCTCCTGACTAATTTCAGCTCAGGAACAGAGTTCAGTCTTTAGCTTTTATATCAAAGATGTTTTCAAACATTTCACACATTACATTCCTGGGAGCTGGACCTTATAAAGCTGCTTTTTCCTGGTAAATATTTTAATTTGATCATTTCTGGGCCGGCTGCTGGTGCCGTAATAAGCTGATTATGTTGAACTGGGACATGTTTGTTGTCTACTGGTGTCTTGTTTTGATGACCTTGTTTAGCATCATCAGCGCTGCTTTAATCACCTCTTTGCTGTTTTCCTGTTACGCCTCATAATTAATAGAGAACCAGCTGACCTGCTTTATCAGATCAAAAACCTGAAGGGAAGAAAAGTGAAGTTTGAAGATAAATTTCAGGGAAATGTCCTTCGGTTCCACTTACCTGGAGAAACCCACAGAACCTCTGGAAGCTTTTACTTTGAAATTATGCCCTTACTGTACAGCATTTTATTCTTTATTCTGTTTTTTATAAATACTTTATATTCTGTCTTTGTGTGATTATTTGCTGCTGTTGCACAGAAACTCAGAACAATTGATATTTATTTTAAATTAAAATAAATTCTATTCTGTTCTGCACCAAATATCATTATAAAGTACGTAAATTAGTTGAACCCTATCATATAATATTTGTTATGAATTACCATCCAGTTTTATGTTATGTAATTAAATGGGAGAATCTGAGTTAAATTTGATTGATACATATAAATGTCTTTTTATTACTATTGTTTCTGGCTTTCTGTGCTTAACTACATAATTAAATAACTTCATATCTCCTGCTGAAAACAAACATCTGATTGGTTAACACTGAGCTGCAGACCAATCACAGCAGCAGCGTTAGCCCAGCTGATTGGCTACAGTAATATGGAAACGTAAAGTAACTTCATTTTGTTTCTCAGCAAATGACTCAGTGGAAAATACATAACAAAATAATTAATGAATATTTAAATAGTAAAAAAGTAATAATTTATTTAAGATAATCTGATTCTTTAAGTTTTGGAACTTTTTAAGTTATTGAATTGTGGCACTTCTGGCTTCCCGTACCTGCTGTGGTCCAAAAGTCTCTATGTGA